CCTATTGTTTTTAAATGCTTTTGAAGCCTTAAACTTGTAAAATGTAAACAGATTATCCTCAATACTCACTTGAGCTGATATCTGGGGAAGATTCTTCCTCTTTAATAGTCACCATAAACACTTCATCCTTCATAGACTGATGACCACCCATCACATACGTCTCTTCTTCTTCCTTCTTCACCTCGGCTTTTATATCAATCAGTTCCTCACCCTAAAACCACAAAATGATAACAAGGACCATCCTCAAAACATAAATCACTAATACCCGGAGATCGCAGAGATGATCATCTCATACATTTTGGAATCATTTTTAAGTTTTAGATGCTCTAACCCCAGCTACCTGATGATGGTGAGGGATGGTGTGACCTTCCTGTGTAGAATCCCAGGAATACGTGTGTCTTTCTGGAATCTCTGACTCCTCCATCACCCCATCCTCATCATCCTCCTCCTCTTTTATCTCTTCTTTAACCTCAACTGTAGAATCTCTCAGGTTTCCACTCTGAATATATAATAAAAATGACATCAATGGTAACAATGCAGATAATGTACAGATACTAATGATACTATCAGTGACTGTTCCTCATCTACCTGATGATGGTGAGGGATGGTGTGACCTTCCTGTGTGGAATCCCGGAATACAGAGGATGGGGACGTCTCGATGGGGGGTTCCTGTAGCTGGATGACTCCACCATGATGTCCTGGTACAGATCTTTGTGTCCTTCTGGAATCTCTGACTCCTCCATCACCCCATCCTCATCCTCCTCCTCTTTTATCTCTTCTTGACCATCAACTTTACAATCTCTCAGGTTTTCACTCTGAATATATAATAAAAATGACATCAATGGTAACAATGCAGATAATGTACAGATCCTAATGACACTATCAGTGATTGTTCCTTATCTACCTGATGATGGTGAGGGATGGTGTGACCTTCCTGTGTGGAATCCCGGAAATACAGAGGACGGGGACATCTCTCTGGTGGGTTCCCATGACTGGATCCATCTGTAGGAAACACACACACTGACTGAATCCATTGTTTCTATGTGTTTATCAGATGATGGGGGATCTAGGTGGATCCTCCGTACTGCTCTCTCCTTTCCAATAAAGTCTCCTCTTACCCGGTGATGTGAGAGGCGGGCTGACTGTCCATCATGATGTCCTTGTAGAGATCCTTGTGTCCTGAAGATGGATCATTGGATTGGTAACTGATTTTCAACCGCTCAGGTGTCCTCTTTACTACTTCATTAATCCTGCACACAATTAAATCATCACTAAGTACACTAAGGTCAGGTCTGTGTTATATTAACCTCCCTGGCGGTATTCCCGAGTGTAGCTCGGGGTAAAGTTTCAGTACCAAAAGCGGTAACCCCGAGCTACACTCGGGCTTACCATGCGGCGCTGCTCCGGCATCTGTTCTTCATTTACATTGTCCTACGCTCCCGCGACGTCCCTCCTGCGGTGTCCCCGGCAATGTAATCCGGCGGATGCCGGCATCTGTCATCTGGGTTCCGTCCCCTGTGAGCGTCGGGACGTACGGGGGACGGAACGGCGGGAAATTTGAAAATGACAAAAAGTGACATTCACTCAATACACTAAAATCACATAGTAAAACATTACTGTATCAAACCATTTCACATACATTTTGTCCCTAGTGCTTTGTCCTGTGTTCTGCCTGCATTTGTACCGTTCTTTCTGCCTGGAAACTGAGAAACGTCCATGGTGTCCAAAAAGTGTCCCTTTAGGTCAAAAGCGGTTTTAGACCAGCTAGAGAACAGCGATAGTAAATTAGAACCACTTGCAGAATTGAGTGATGATTCGTGGGGAAATTCGTCATCAGACACTGAAAACGATTTTGCGACTTTGCTCAGCGATGTGCGAACTTGGCGCTATATTTCAAATTTCAGTGTTTTTGGTTTAATTATATTATTGAATTAAATTTATTATATTATTATTTTTTATGATTATTTATTAAATTATAATTTATGATTTCGTGTTTCACATTTTATCATACCCAGGATGTTTCCTAGACTCTTGTTCAGACAGATTTCAGTGAGTTATTCCTAAAAATTTCAGGCCTACAATAAAAGAAATACATATTTCCATGCAAAAAAATGTACAGCTTTGAGCACAGAAATATGGACATAATCAGACCGCTAGGGAGGTTAATAGAGATAAGAGTGATGTCATGTGACCTCCCAGAATCCTCCTCACCTACCTGATCAGGTTTAATACCCTCCATCTGTGTCCGTCCGCCCCATATCGGCACTATATATCTCTAAAAGTATGCAGTAAGCAGATCTGTATTTGCATTGTGAGTAGAGTTGGGACTGGCCAGAGAGGGATGACTTTGATGCAGTTGGTCAGCTTGGACATGTATTGCAAGAATTCCAGATTTCTTGAGATATAGAAATGTGTAAGAGTGTATAGCAGTGTGCAGAGCATTCATCTAGAATGTCTATAATATCCTTTCATTTACTTGAAGGTGGTCCTTATCTATACTTATGTATGTGGTAATGTGATTTGGATAAATGGCTCTATATTTAGAATGTATCCGGTTTATAAACCAGAGGCTCTGGATGGACGGTTGGATAAATGGTTCTATATTTAGAATGTATCCGGTTTACAAACCAGAGGCGCTGGATGGACGGTTGGATAAATGGTTCTATGTTTAGAATGTATACGGTCTATAAACCAGAGGCTCTGGATGGACGGTTGAATAAATGGTTCTATATTTAGGACGTATCCAGTCTATAAACCAGAGGCTCCGGATGGACGGTTGGATAAATGGTTCTATATTTAGGACGGATCCGGTCTATAAACCAGAGGCTCCGGATGGACGGTTGGATAAATGGTTCCATATTTAGGACGTATCCGGTCTATAAACCAGAGGCTCCGGATGGACGGTTGGATAAATGGTTCCATATTTAGGACGTATCCGGTCTATAAACCAGAAGCTCCGGATGGACGGTTGGATAAATGGTTCCATATTTAGGACGTATCCGGTCTATAAACCAGAGGCTCCGGATGGACGGTTGGATAAATGGCTCTATATTTAGGACGTATCCGGTCTGTAAACCAGAGGCTCCGGATGGACGGTTGGATAAATGGCTCCATATTTAGGACGTATCCGGTCTATAAACCAGAGGCTCTGGATGGACGGTTGGATAAATGGCTCTATATTTAGGACGTATCCGGTCTATAAACCAGAGGCTCTGGATGGACGGTTGGATAAATGGCTATATATTTAGGATGTATCTATAGTGCATCGGCTGGAGATAAAAGACGACACAGTGACTACCTCCTCTGTGTAATCCAGTGCAGTCTCCTCTCTCTCGTTCTTCTCTCCCAGAACTTCCTGCCTTTCCCTTATATAAAGCCTTGTCTTTGTATTACATCACTTCCTGTCTGAGTGGGTCCACCTGCAATAAGTGATATCGCCATCTTCTGGTAATTTTAATAACTGCGTCCTACATTATGTTTTAGTATTTTCTCCTCTGCCTTGTAGCTCATTCTTCAGATTTGTATCAAAAGTTTTCCAGGTACCGTGTAGCATAAAATGTCAAAAGTAGTACCACAGTTCAAAATATATTATATATATTGAGGAATGGAGATGGACCTTTTATATGGTGTCCAGTATCTCCTCCTCATTTGTTGGGAACATGACGTTATATTGAGGAATGGAGATGGACCTTTCATATGGTGTCCAGTATCTCCTCATTTGTTGGAAACACGATGTTATATTGGGGAATGGAGATGGATCTTTCATATGGTGTCCAGTATCTCCTCCTCATTTGTTGGGAACATGACGTTATATTGAGTAATGGAGATGGACCTTTCATATAGTGTCCAGTATCTCATTTGTTGAGAACATGACGCTATATTGAGGAATGGAGATGGACCTTCCATATGGTGTCCAGTATCTCCTCATTTGTTGAGAACATGACGTTATATTGAGGAATGGATATGGACCTTCCATATGGTGTCCAGTATCTCCTCCTCCTTTATTGGGACCATGACGTCATATTGAGGAACAGAGATGGACCTTCCATATGGTGTCCAGTATCTCCTCCTCCTTTGTTGGGAACATGACGTCATATTGAGGAACAGAAATGGACCTTCCATATGGTGTCCAGTATCTCCTCCTCCTTTGTTGGGAACATGACGTCATATTGAGGAATGGAGATGGACCTTTCATATGGTGTCCAGAATCTCCTCCTCATTTGTCGGGAACATGACGTTATATTGAGGAATGGAGATGGACATTATATTGAGGAATTATCAATCCCGGCAAGGCTGGCTTTAGTGGCTTCTAGAGGTGTAAGAGCCAAGGAAGGGTCATCCTTGAAGTGGAACTTCAAATGTCACGTTAAAGGATTCCAATGGGCCACTGAAAAAAACTTTGTGATCAATAAATAATGCAGTGGAAGTCGTGTTGTCTCTTCCCACCTCCTGGTGGTCCATCCTTCTCTTTGGTTCCATTGATGATTACACACACACATATCACACCTCATACATCAAATCCAGGAATGAAACCATAAACATCATTTTGACAAAGTTTTATTATTTACGAAAGTGAAACTAAAGAAGTAAAATCAAACTGAAGATTGAAATACAACCTATGTGTCGCATTCAATCCAGAAAGCTTTATTACACGTAGAAGGATCGTTATTTTGGTCATGTGACCGTAATCTTCAAATCTTATTGGACTTTTTAATTTTTCTTTTCAACTGCTAAGACCATTCTGGCCCCTCCCCCCCTTGGAAGGTCTGAGGCTCATCGGGTTAGAATTATTCCGTTACAGCCTTGAGTTCCGGTTTTTTTAGGACGTTCTGAACCGTGTTTTTTCGCATGCTGAACAAGTGTCTGTTTCAGAGTGAAACTTTTCCCGCACTCGGTACAGCTATAAGGACGCTCGCCCGAGTGAGTTTTCTGGTGTCCAACAAAATTTCTTTTTCGAGCGAAACATTTGCCGCACTCTGAACACGAATATGGAAGCTCACCCGAGTGAATTTTCTGGTGAGTAACAAGGCTTGACTTGGCCGTGAAACATTTCCCGCACTCTGGACATGAATAAGGACGCTCGTCCGTATGAACTCTCTGGTGAGCAATGAGGTGTCCTTTTAGGGTGAAACATTTCCCGCACTCTGAACATGAATAAGGACGCTCACCTGAATGAATTCTCTGGTGCATAACAAGGTTTCCTTTACAAGTGAAAGATTTCCCGCACTCCAAACATGAATAAGGACACTCGCCGGAATGAGTTCTCTGGTGGATGACAAGGTTTTGTTTCCAACTAAAAGATTTCCCGCACTCCGAACATGAAAAAGAAAGCTTACCTGAGTGATTTCTTTTGTGATTTGCAAGGTTTCTCTTCGTAGTGAAGGATTTTTCCCCACACTCAGGACATGAATACTGACCCTCGCTTGAGTGACTGCTCTGGTGTAAGTCACGGTGTGCTTTTGAGTAAAAACATTTTCCACACTCCGAACATGAATAGGGACGCTCACCAGTGTGAATTCTCTGGTGTGCGCGAAGGTTTCCTTGGGCAGAAAAACATTTTCCGCACTCTGAACAGGAAAAGGGACGTTCCCCTGTATGGATTCTCTGGTGTTCACGTAACCTTCCATGGGCAGAAAAACATTTTCCACACTCTAAACAGGAAAGGGGCCGCTCACCCGTGTGAACTCTATGGTGTTTAAGAAGGGATTCTTTAATAGAAAAACATTTCCCGCACTCTAAACAGGAAAAGGGACGCTCACCCGTATGAATTCTCTGATGTGTAATAAGGCCTCCTATTACAGAAAAACATTTTCCGCACTCCGAACAGGAAAAGGGACGCTCACCCGTGTGAATTCTCTGGTGTACAACAAGGCTTTGACTTATAGTGAAACATTTTCCACACTCTGAGCAGGAAAAAGGTTGCTCTCCCATATGAAATTTTCTGGTGTGCAAGAAGATTTGTTTTACTAGAAAAACATCTTCCACACTCTGAACAGGAAAAGGGACGCTCACACCCGTATGCGTTCTCTGGTGTGCCTGGAGGCCTCCTTTTATAGAAAAACATTTCCCGCACTCTAAACAGGGAAAGGGACGCTCACCAGTGTGAATTCTCTGGTGTATAAGAAGGGTTTCTTTCCTGCGAAAACGTTTTCCGCATTCTGAACAGGAAAAGCATTTCTCTCCTGTATGAATTCTCTGGTGTGTACGAAGGTTTGCTTTAAGAGAAAAACATTTCCCACACTCTAAACAGGAAAAAGAACAGTCAGCCGTATGAATCCTCTGGTGTTTAACAAGGTTTTCTTTCTTAGGAAAACATTTCCCACACTCTAAACATGAATGAGGATGCTCGGTCTTGTGGGATATCTGGTGTTTAAGAAGTGCATTTTTCTTCGTGAATGTTTTCCCGCACACCAAACATGATATTGAGCTCCCTCTTGTGTGAGCTCCCTCATGGCTTGAAGAGGATTTCTGGGGATTGGATGAATCTGTTGATCTGTCAGCACTGTGAGAACCTGGATGGGCATCTGAAGTCATAGTATGGGATCTATCAGAAGGTTCCTCAGGATTAGAAGGATCCATTGATCTTAGATGGACATCTGAAGTCATAGTATGGGATCTATCAGAAGATTCCTCCGTTTTAGAAGGATCCATTGATCTTAGATGGACACCTGAAGTCCTAGTATGGGATTTATCAGGCAATTCTTCGGGATTAGAAGGATCCATTGATCTTAGATGGACATCTGAAGTCATAGTATGGGATTTATCAGAAGATTCCTTAGGACTAGAAGGATTCATTGATGTTGTCAACCAATAAAATGTTACATTTGGAGAACATTGTGCAATGTCTGAAGGTATATTAGGACATCTTTCTGACGTATTTAAATTCCAAAAGTACTGTCCATCTGCTGAAAAAACAATTGTTGATATATGTTATGTTTGTTTTTATACTCCTCAAATTCAGAAGTCATGTCTATCAAATGGTACACCCAATCCATACTAGGTGACAGTAGATGTGCATTGAGGACATTGTTATCATGAATATCATGAAGAATAGTGATGGAGCTTCCTCCACCTCATTTCCTGAAAAACATTTTAAAGGATGAAGATATACAGTTCATATGATTTACAGCAGTGGGGGGGGGGGGGGGTCTCAAGTTTGACTTCTGACATCACCAGGGAGCTGCACATAATATTTAGCGTATTTCAAGTTCCAGAAAACCGTCAAGACAATGGACCTATTGCAGTGGATGGTCAGAGACAGTACTTCATGCTATAGGAGAGGGTCAGAGTTCCAAAACATGCTACAAGAGTAAAAAAGAAAAAGGAAATTCATCACTGAAACATTGTAGACTGTTTACTATGCTTCAGCTTGTGAATGAATAGGAAGCCATTGTACAGAGACTTCTATTCATTCATCTGCAGTGCAGCTGAGGCTGCAGAACAAGAGAAAGGGAAATAGATCCCTTCATCTAAAAGAAAAAAAAAAAAGAGACAGGGGTGTTCAAGGGGGTAGTACTAGGGGACAGACTGACCTGGGGGGGATATACTAGGGGACAGATTGGCCTTGAGAGGGGGAGAGGGGAGGATTATGTTGGGGGATAGACTTCCCTGGAGGGATGTATTAGGGGACAGATTGACCTGGGGGGGGGGGGATTGTACTGGGGAATAGGCTGACCTAAAGAGATTATACTGGAGGACAGATTGACCTGGGGGGGAGGGGGAGGGAATATACTAGAGGACGGACTGATCTGTGGGGAATATTAGGAATATTAGGGGACAGACTCACCTGGGGGGATATACTAGGGGACAGATTGGCCTTGAGAGGGGGAGAGGGGAAATTTATGCTGGGGGATAGACGTCCCTGGAGGGTTGTATTGGGGGACAGATTGATCTGGGGGGGGGGGAGTTGTACTGGGGAAAATACTGACCTAGAGAGATTATACTGGAGGACAGATTGACCTGGGGGGAGGGCGAGGGAATATACTAGAGGACAGACTGATCTGCAGGGATGTACTGAGGGGCAGGTTGACCTGGGAGGATTCCAATGGGGACATTTATTGAGGGGGGAGAGGGAAGGATTATGCTGGGGGATAGACGTCCTTGGAGGGCTGTATTTGGGAACAGATTGACCTGGGGGGGTTATTGTACTGGGGAAGAGACTGAACTAGAGAGATTATACTGGAGGACAGATTGACCTGGGGGGTGGGAATATACTGGAGGACAGATTGGCCTTGATGGGGGTAGAGGGAAGGATTATGCTGGGGATAGACCTCCCTGGAGGGCTGTATTGGGGGACAGATTGATCTGGGGGGGGAGTTGTACTGGGGAAAAGACTGACCTAGAGAGATTATACTGGAGGACAGATTGACCTGGGGGGAGGGAATATACTAGAGGACAGACTGATCTGTGGGGATGTACTGAGGGGCAGGTTGACCTGGGAGGATGCTAATGGGGACATTTATTGAGGGGGGAGAAGGAAGTATTATGCTGGGGGATAGATGTCCCTGGAGGGCTGTATTGGGGGACAGATTGATCTGGGGGGGTGGAGTTGTACTAGGGAAAAGACCTGGGGGGAGAGGGAGCGAATATACTGGAGGACAGACTGTTCTGTGGGGATGTACTGGGGGGCAGGTTGACCCGAAGAGATTCTAATGGGGATATTTATTGAGGGGGGAGAGGGAAGGATTATGCTGGGGGATAGACGTCCTTGGAGGGCTGTATTTGGGAACAGATTGACCTGGGGGGGTTATTGTACTGGGGAAGAGACTGAACTAGAGAGATTATACTGGAGGACAGATTGACCTGGAGGGTGGGAATATACTGGAGGACAGATTGGCCTTGATGGGGGTAGAGGGAAGGATTATGCTGGGGGATAGACATCCCTGGAGGGCTGTATTGGGGGACAGATTGATCTGGGGGGGGAGTTGTACTGGGGAAAAGACTGACCTAGAGAGATTATACTGGAGGACAGATTGACCTGGGGGGAGGGAATATACTAGAGGACAGACTGATCTGTGGGGATGTACTGAGGGGCAGGTTGACCCGAAGAGATTCTAATGAGGAAAGATTGGCCTTCAGAGGGGGAGAGGGAAGGATTATGCTGGGGGATAGACGACCCTGGAGGGCTGTATTGGGGGACAGATTGATCTGGGGGGGAGTTGTACTGGGGAAAAGACTGACCTAGAGAGATTATACTGGAGGACAGATTGACCTGGGGGGAGGGAATATGCTAGAGGACAGACTGATCTGTGGGGATGTACTGAGGGACAGGTTGACCTGGGAGGATTCTAATGGGGACATTTATTGAGGGGGGAGAGGGAAGGATTATGCTGGGGGATAGACATCCCTGGAGGGCTGTATTTGGGAACAGATTGACCTGGGGGGTGGGGGGTTATTGTACTGGGGAAAAGACTGACCTAGAGAGATTATACTGGAGGACAGATTGACCTGGGGGAAGGGAATATACTAGAGGACAGACTGATCTGTGGGGATGTACAGAGGGGCAGATTGACCTGGGAGGACTCTAATGGGGACAGATTGGCCTTGATGGGGGTAGAGAGGGAAGGATTATGCTGGGGATAGACCTCCCTGGAGGGCTGTATTGGGGGACAGATTGATCTGGGGGGGGAGTTGTACTGGGGAAAAGACTGACCTAGAGAGATTATACTGGAGGACAGATTGACCTGGGGGGAGGGAATATATACTAGAGGACAGACTGATCTGTGGGGATGTACTGAGGGGCAGGTTGACCTGGGAGGATGCTAATGGGGACATTTATTGAGGGGGGAGAAGGAAGTATTTATGCTGGGGGATAGATGTCCCTGGAGGGCTGTATTGGGGGACAGATTGATCTGGAGGGGGGTAGAGTTGCACTAGGGAAAAGACCTGGGGGGAGAGGGAGCGAATATACTGGAGGACAGACTGTTCTGTGGGGATGTACTGGGGGGCAGGTTGACCCGAAGAGATTCTAATGAGGAAAGATTGGCCTTCAGAGGGGGGAGAGGGGAGGATTATGCTGGGGGATAGACGACCCTGGAGGGCTGTATTGGGGGACAGATTGATCTGGGGGGGGGGGGGAGTTGTACTGGGGAAAAGACGGACCTAGAGAGATTATACTGGAGGACAGATTGACCTGGGGGGGGGAGGGCGAGGGAATATACTAGAGGACAGACTGATCTGTGGGGATGTACTGAGGGGCAGGTTGACCTGGGAGGATTCTAATGGGGACATTTATTGAGGGGGGAGAGGGAAGGATTATGCTGGGGGATAGACGTCCCTGGAGGGCTGTATTTGGGAACAGATTGACCTGGGGGGGGGCGGTTATTGTACTGGGGAAAAGACTGACCTAGAGAGATTATACTGGAGGACAGTTTGACCTGGGGGGAGGGAATATACTGGAGGACAGACTGATCTGTGGGGATGTACAGGGGGGCAGATTGACCTGGGAGGACTCTAATGGGGAAAGATTGGCCTTGATGGGGGTAGAGGGAAGGATTATGCTGGGGGATAGATGTCCCTGGAGGGCTGTATTGGTCAGATAGATTGATCTAGGGGGGGGGAGTTGTACTGGGGAAAACACTGACCTAGAGAG